GTCTCTAAAAAAAAAAAAAAAAAAGGCTATGACAAACACAGTTCCTAACCTGAAGGCCTGCACAGTAGTGAGGGAAGAAGGCAGGGAAAAAACTACAACACCAATTATTATTTAATTAGAGCAGAGTCAAATGAGATATGACCCTTTGATCTTAATCCTATCTCTTGGAATATAACTGTAAGGGCCCATTTAGACCTCCAGAATGGGTATAAAGACTAAAGTGGGTGTAAAGTAGAAACATTTCAGCTGTGAAAGATGCAGACATAAATCTTACCTGAACTTCCTTTATCACACTAAAACAGAGCCTCCTGAAAATACAGTTGCCAATAACTTCCTTGAGTGAGAGTTTCCTGGGTATTCGGTTGTCATGAAGACAGACCACCCATTACCATTACCATCAAAAAGCCCAATAGAACCTTCTATACTTTCCCACTGAAGTCCCCAGACCCTGCCTTTTATTAAGTTGACATAATAAAACTTTACTTTGGGATATTCTGCAATAGTAAGCACACTTGTAAATAACCTTTGTATTTTCTCTTGTTAATCTATTGTCAGTTAATTCAAAGGCCCAAATATTGGACCAAAGGTGGAAGAGGAAAAGTTTTTTTTCACCATAACCTTTTGGCTTGTCATAAATCACTAGACCCTAATATCTTACTTAGTAAAATAGAGGGAAATATCACATTCCCTCACAAATAACTTCCCAGGACAGATATGACAAGTAGTTGGCTCTGAATTTTGTGTTTATGAATTACATACTTAAGGAATTTTCAAACATATGCTTTTTAATTGTAGGAAGTGACTTCTTGTTACATCTTCTAGTCATTAAATTCTAGAAGAGATCAATGTGACTTGGAGGAATGAGCATTGAATTTGGAATGAAAAGATCATAATTTGAGTCTGGTTCTACAACATCATACCTGTTTGACCTATTTGAGTTCCATTAGATTCACCTTATGATATTGCCAATAGTGGCCAGGTGCAGCAGCCCACGCCTGTAATCCCAGCACTTTGGGAGGCCAAGGTGGGCAGATCACCTGAGATAAGGAGTTTGAGACCAAGATCAGCCTGACCAACATGGTGAAACCATATTGTATACTAAAAAAACAAAAAAAAAAAAAAAAAAAAGCCAGATGTTGTGCTGCATGCCTGTAATCCCAGCTACTTGGGAGGCTGAGGCAGAAGAATCACTTTTACCTGGGAGGTGAAGGTTGCAGTGAGCCGAAATCACACCACTGCACTCCAGCCTGGGCAACAAAGCAAGACTCTATCTGGGGGGAATAAAAAAAAAAAAGGAAATTACCAATAGTTATCTGGTTTTGATCTACAAAAATGGTGGCAATTTTGTATGATTTAACCTAATAATTTCTTTATTAAATTAGGGCTTAAATTAGATGATGATGTAGATGTTGGTGTTCTTTAAATTCTAAAGCTCTTTACTATATATGTAGAAAAAATTTATTTTTCTTTTAGGCTAATAAATGTAGAATAAAATTAGTACATTAGGTACTGTATTGGAGTCCAGTAACAATTGCTTTTGCATTATGTACTGTTTTGGATTCTGTCCTATACCTTTGTACATGTTGATGTCACGTAAAAACAGTTTGAGGGCTTTGGAATAAAGGCACTACAGAAATACAAGAAAATTAAATTGTTTTTCTGGACCAGATGTATTACCTGAGATACTTTTAAATATCTGTAGTCCACTGGACAACTTACTCTAAATAAGGATTAATGAATTTTGTATTGTTTTTATATAGGAAAATAACAGCTCTGACTGGTATAAAAATAATACAAGTTTCCTGTGGACATTACCACTCCCTGGCATTATCAAAAGGTAAGAAACACTTTTTCGATCTGAGTGTGATTAGGAAGTAATTTTTTGAATAGGAATTATAGCTATTGATTTTTAATGCACTGGGGCTCATTTAGAAGTTTTTCACTCTCCAGGTTTCATAAGATATATTGTTTTTCTATTTTTTCTCAAATTTCTTGGTCCTTATTATACTCTAGAAAGTCCCTAATTCATGATGCCATAAGGGACTGTCTCTGGTTATTTGACCTAACTGGCCAACTCTCTCAGCTTAGTAGTGGCTTTATTTCCAGCCCCTTGCTCTTTATGCTAAATGAAGAGCACACTGGCAAACCCAGACAGACTAAGGACAATTCATCTGTTTCACTTAGATCGATGAAAAAGAAGTCAAGGTGTCAAAATCATGACTCTATATTTTTTGTTTTTTAATTTGTACTTATTTATCTTTATTGACACATAATAATTGTACATCTACACTCTACCAACCTCCACCCTCCATTGTCCATCCTTAATTCAAATTTCTCAATGGAGAGTCTGAAGGAGGGAAAATTTTTTCTCTACCCTTTTACATGTAGTATTTGGGAACATGCAAATTAAATGAACAGAAACAGATTAACAGAGAAAAGGCACCCAATTTTTATTTATTTTTTTTCTTTTTTGAGACAGAGTCTCGCTGTGTCACCCAGGCTGGAGTGCAGTGGCACCATCTTGGCTCACTGCAACCTCCACCTCCCAGGTTCGAGCGATTCTCCTACCTCAGCCTCCCAAGTAGCTGGAACTATAGGCATGCACTACCACACTCTACTAATTTTTGTATTTTTAGTAGAGTCGGGGTTCCCCTATGTTGTCCAGGCTGGTCTCAAACTCCTGACCTCAAGCCACCTAAGCCTCCCAAAGTGCTGGGATTTCAGGCGTGAGCCACTATGCCCAGCCCCCAATTTTTATCAATATTTTTGTGCACAACAGTTTACAGAAAGGAAGTGAAACTAAAAGTAGTGGTTAGACTTGGGTAGTTACATACTGTTTTAACAAAGTAAAGGGAGTTTGGGCTTCAAGGGACAATAGCTTGTAGGAAAGTGACTAGGAAATACATAGGGAAAGCAATGGAAGATAAGGGATATTTTGGTAAATTTGTTTATGCAGACTCATCTCAGTGCTGCTTCATCGTCTTCAGTCATAAAGTTACTCTTCTCTCCCTGGTACAGTAGAGTGGAGATACCTCCACAAGGGGAAACTTATGCCCTGCTTTTAGGCAGATAAGAGAAGGGCGGAAACCTCTCCTTACATCTGTTAACTCTCAATTGCCTTCAACTCGAAACAATTCTTATGCCAAAGTAGCATATTTTGGTGTGGCATATCCTGATCCCCTTCAAGAGACTGTAACGTTTATATGTTCCTCAGGTGATGTCCTATGTATCATTGCAACTGCGCCAGGGTCTATGGACAGCTAATATTTATCGGTTACCAGCTGTCCATTTATTGGACACCTAACATTTATTGGACAGGCATGGTTGCTCACTCCCAGCATTTTGGGAGGCCAAGGCGGGTGAATCACGAGGTCAGGAGTTCGAGACTAGCCTGGCCAACATGGTGAAACCTTATCTCTACTGAAAATACACACACACACACACACACACACACACACACACACAGAGAAAAAATAGCTGGGCATGGTGGCAGCGCCTGTAATCTCAGCAACTTGGGAGGCTGCTGCAGGAGAATCACTTGAACCCGGGAGGCAGAGGTTGCAGTGAGCCAAGACTGCACCACTGCATTCCAGCTTGGGCAACAGAGAGAGACTCCATCTCATAAAAAAAAGACAGTAAGAGGACAGAGAGTGAGTACCTGGGTGGAGAGAAGGGGCCTTTCTATTTTATAAGGTGGTCAGGGCAGATATCTCTTATAAGGTGACATATGAGCAGAGACCATATGAAAAGGGAGGGAGAAAGTTGAGATGCTGCCCATGAAAGAATGATCCAGACACAAAGGCCATGAGATCAGGGCGTGCTCCGAAGTGTACTCCCGGAACAGCAAAGGGTCTGGAGAGGAGTGAATAGGGGGAGATGAAGTCTGGGAAGTGGGGGTGAGCCAGACTGGTGATGTGGGGCCTGTGATGGGACTCAGTCCTTCATTGAGTGAGATAGCAAGCTCCTGAGGTACTTGATTGGACATATATATATATATATATATATATATGTATTTTAAATTGCATTTTAGGTTTTGGGGTACATTTGAAGAACATGCAAGATAGTTGCATAGGTACACACATGGCAGTGTGATTTGCTGCCTTCCTCCCCTTCACCTATATCTGGCATTTCTCCCCATGCTGTCTTTCCCCAACTCCCCACCCCTGGACTTATATTTTTAAAAGGATCACTCTGGCTACTCTTTGGAGAACAAACTGCTGGGGGCAAAGATTGCCTTGGGGAGATTAGTGAGGTGCTATTGTCATTCTCAAGGAGAGAAATGTTGGTGACTTAGCTAAGGTGGTAGCAGTGGAGAGATGAGAAATGGTTGAATTCTGGATAGATTTTGAAGGCACAAGTTTTGAATTTGCTGGGTTGAAGAGTATAAAAGAGAGGAGTTAAGGATGACTCTAAGATTTTTGGCCTGAGCAGCTGAAAGAACACAGTTGCCCTTAACTGGGAGGGAGAAGAGTGGACATTGTTTGAAGGGACATTTGAAGGTGACCTTGACCACCCCACTTGCCTTTATTTGGAATACTTTAATCTCATTTTTTTTTCTCTATCTCTCTTTTACTGTGTAAAGATTTGTAACATTGAATAGAAATAGAAGGAAATCCTACCATGTGCATCTTGGAGACATCATGCTAAGTAAAATAAACCAGACAAAGAAAGACAAATACTGCACGGTCTCACTTAGATGTGGTATCTAAGAAAGTCAAATTCAATAAAATTAGAGAGTAGAAAGGTAGCTGCCAGGGCCTGGGGGCTTGGGGAAATGGGAAGATGTGGGTCAAAGGGTACAAACTTTCAGCTATAAGGTGAATACGTTTTTAATGTATAGCCATGTGACTATAGTTGATAATCGTGCATTGTATACTGGAAGTTTGCTAAGAGGGTAGCTCTTAAGTATTCTCACCACACACATACACACAAAAGTAACTGTGTGAGGTGATGGATATGTTAATTAGCTCATTGTGACAATCATTTGACAGTGTTTATGTATTTCAGCACATCACATTATATACCTTAAGTGTATAAAATTTTTATTTGTCAATTATACCTCAATAAAGCCACAAAAAAGATTTATAGAATTAGTAGTTTCTATTTGAATTTATTATTCTAATATGTATACAATTCTTAATTTCTCTTCTTTGTCTTTGTAGATAGCCAAGTGTTTTCATGGGGAAAGAACAGCCACGGGCAGCTGGGCCTAGGGAAGGAGTTCCCCTCCCAAGCCAGTCCTCAGAGGGTGAGGTCCCTGGAGGGGATCCCGCTGGCTCAGGTGGCTGCTGGAGGGGCTCACAGCTTTGCCCTATCTCTCTGTGGGACTTCGTTTGGCTGGGGAAGTAACAGTTCAGGGCAGCTGGCCCTTAGTGGGCATAATGTCCAAGGTAAGGAGATAGTCTTGTTTGTGCAATAAATCATTCTTTCTTTCCAGGTGGAAGACCAACTTGGCAAAGGGCAGTATCAATGGTTAAAACAGTGGTTCCCAAACTTGTGACACATTAGAATAGCCTAGGGAGCTATATTAGTTTCTTGTTGCAGCGGTAACAAATCATCTCAAACCTAGCAGCCTAAAACAACACAAATGTATTATCCTACAGTTCTGGAGGTCAGAATTCTGGCAGGTCTCACTGGGCTAATGTCAAGGTGTTAGCAGGTGCCTGCCTCTACAGGCTCTGGGGGAGAATCCATTTTCAAGCCTTCTGCAGCTTCTAGAGGCCACCTGCATTAATTGACTCAGAGACTTCTTTCTTCTTCAAAGCTAGCAATGGCTGATCAAGTCTTTCTCAAGTCTTGTTACTTTCACATAGACTCTTCTGCCTCTCTCTTCCTCAGTTAAAAGACCCTTGTGATTACAGTGTGCTCACCTGGATAATCCAGCGGACTCTTGCTTGTGTTAAGGTCAACTGATTAGCAACTTTAGTTCCATCTGTTTCCATAACTTCCCCTTACCACGTAACTTAACATATTTACAGGCTCCAAGATGAGGAAGTGGGAGACCATTATTCTTTGGGAGGCCATTATTCTGCCTACTGTGGGATCCTTTAAAAACCTCAATGCCCAGGTCAGACCCCATACCTATTAAAGTATCAGTTGTCATTAGCGACCTCACAGGTGATTCCAATGTGAAGCAAAGTTTAGAAATTGCTGGATTGGGAGACTGCTAACATTAGGTGAAACAACCAGTTCCTCTAGACAAAAGAAAACTTCTGTAAACAACCAGTTCCTCCGAACACAAAACTCATCAGGATGTGCTCCCCACAAACTCAATCCTCTTCTATTCAATTCCTTACATTCAGCTAACATATAGTTAGCACCTAACCTGTGTCAGTCTCATGCTGAGCACTTATACCTTGTTTCACTTCACCATTTCAGCATTAATTAAGTTTTTCTTTCCTTTCCTTTTTCTTTCCCTCCCCTCCCCTCCCTTCCTCACCCTTCTCCTCCCTTTCCCTTTCCTCCCCTGCCCTGCCTTCCCCTCCCCTCCTCTTCTCCTCCCCTTCCCTCCTCTTCCCCTCCTCTCTTCTCCCCTTCCCCCCTCCCCTTCCCTCCCCTCCCCTAGCCTCTTTTCCTTTCCCTCCTCTCCTCTTTTCTTTTCTTTTTTTTCTGTCCTTTTCTTCAGACAGGATGTTGCTCAGCTGCCCAGGCTGGAGTGCAGTGGAATGATCTCAACTTACTGCAATCTCAGCCCCCTGGGTAGTTCAGACCACAGGCACATGCCACCACACCCAGCTATTTTTTTGTATTTTTTGTAGAGATGGGGTTTCACCATGTTGCCCAGGCTGGTTTTGAACTCCTGCGCTCAAGCAATCCATGTGCCTCAACCTCCCAAAGTGCTGGGATTACAAGCATGAGACACCCATGCCTAGCCAGCTTTTCTTATCATCTCAATTTTTATAATATATTTGCAGAGCACCTATCATGTGACAGAAATATGTCAAAATGGTCAGAATCAATATGGAGTCACTTATTTCAAACCCTAATAAAATGGAGTTGGAGGGGAGGGATCATGAAGGGAGGATCCTCACACAGATCCACCTGATAATAACTATCCCAGAGGACTCTACCAAAACCACAACCTTGCAGCTAAGACCACTTCTATGGGACATCTTTCCAGTAACAGTGTTTCCTAACTGCAGCCTTGCAAGTATTCCTTACTAAATGGCAACCTTGCAGTCAGGTTGGATTCTGTGAAGACCCTCTTCTAGCAACGGCCAGTATACATGTTACTGCCTGCAATCAGTCCTTGTAACCAATGAACTTCTGTTTCAAAATAACCTGCACATACTTTAAAATTCCCCCTTGCCTCAGCCTTCCCAGCTATGCCCATGGCCTGCTATGGCATGCATATCCTGGATTGTAATCCCGTTGTCATTCATTCCAAAAAAACTTTTTAGAGAGCCTCTCTGTTGTTATTTTAGGATGACAAATTAATACAACACGATGGCAGTCGTATCAGGCATGAGGGTCTTGAAGCTTAGCTTTCTAGGTCAATAGACCTAGAAGATTCCAGAAGATTAGATAGCTTCCAGAAACAAATGTTAAAGGAGCATTTCTTTTTTTCCTTCCCAAGGTAGGGTGTTTCCTCTGTTTTATACTTAGAATAGTTTACTTTTAAAATTATGTTATGAATTTTAAGAATAATGAAAGATATCACTTACATAAAAATATAAAAAGGTATTAAATATATAGTCATGAAATCTGCAAACTATGTTAGTGAATTATAAGAATAATAAAAGATATCTTTTATGTAAAAATATGAAATATAAAAAGGTATTAAAATGTAAATACTCATGAAATCTGAGTCTGTTTCTTATACTCTAGAAATTCTGCTTTGTTTCAACAGTGCAAAGCAACAAGCCTCTCTCAATTGGTGCACTGAAGAATCTAGGTGTGATTTATATCAGCTGTGGTGATAAGCACACTGCCGTGCTTAGCCAGGTAATCCAAAATGTGTTGCTATGTTTTTAAGTTCCAGAGAAATGTTAACAAGATACATGTACTAATTATTGTTGAAAGCCAGAGACGTTAGCCCATTTGGGCCACTGTAACAACGTACCACAAAAAGAGTGGCTCGTAAACAACAGAAATCTATTTCTCATTGTTCCGGAGGCTAGGAAGTCCAAAATCAAGGTGCCAGCAAATTTGATGTCTGATGAGGGCCAAACTTCTCATTCATAGATGCCATATTTTCACTGTGTCCTCACATAGTGAAAGGGGTGAGGAGTCCCACCTGGGCCTCTTTAGTGAGGGCACTAATCCCATTCATGAGGGTTCTGCCTTCATGACCTAATCATCCATCAAAGGCCCCTCCTCCTAATATCATGGCATTGAGGGTTAGAATTTCAACATAAGAATTCTGGGGTGACACAAACATTCAGACTGTAGCTTAAGATATGTATACCAAAATCTAGACATAGCCATTCAGTGTACACATACCTAAAGAGGAGATGTGAACCAAATACAAATCATAAAGTTTTCAAGATTCTATAACATAAGCTAATTTCAGCTTTCGGAAGTATCTTTAGATACCTACTAAATTAGGTTAATAGCCGGGTGGGGCGACTCATGCCTGTAATCCCAGCACTTTGGGGGGCCAAGGTGGGTGGATCACGAGGTCAGGAGTTCCAGACCAGCCTGGCCAACACAGTAAAACCTCGTCTCTACTAAAAATACAAAAATTAGCCAGGTGTGATGGTGGGCACCTGTAGCCCCAGACACTTGGGAGGCTGAGGCAAGAGAATTGCTTGAACCTGGGAGGTGGAGGTTGCAGTGAACCGAGATTACACCACTGCACTCCAGCCTGGGCAACAGAGCCAGACTCTGTGTCAAAAAAAAAAAAAAAGGTTAATACAGAAACTAATTCCTTTTAGCAATTATTCTTTTTTTTTTTTTTTTTTTTTATTGAGATGCAGT